CAATATATTCTTTAGTATTAAGGACAATTATTAACATAAATAAATATGGCAAACACTTTATGGTTCGATGAAATCACTGTAACACTCTCAAGGAGGAAGTCACATGTTCGAAACACATCTCAATCAAGAAAGTTGACATTTAACATTGAAGTATTGAACATAGGGATGGACTCGGGCCGGGTGGCCCGACCCGGAACCGGCCCGGGACCGGTACTGTTCCGGCCCGGCCTGACCTGGAACCGGCCCGGCCCGACCCGGAACCGGCCCGGGACCGGTACTGTTCCGGCCCGGCCTGACCCGGTGGCCCGGTCAGTGACCGGTCCGGGTAGGCCCGGCCCGTGGGTTTTCCGGTCCGGGCTCGGGTCACCCAAAATGAGGCCCGATCCGGCCGGGCCCGGGCCCGGTTCGGGCCAAAAAATATATATTTTTTTCAATTTTTTTTAACTTTTCGGGTTGGGCTGGGTATTTTGGGCCATTTGGGATGGTTTGGGGGGTTAGGGGTGGGAGGGGGGTTAATTAGGAAGAGGAAAACAAAAAAAAATGGGCCTGGCCCGGCCCGGCCCGGACCCGGCCCGGACCCGGTGGTTACCCGGGCCGGTCCTGGGTCCACCATTTCTGACCCGCCGGCCCGCCCGGGGCTAGGCCCGACCCGGACCCGACCCGGACCCGACCCGGACCCGACCCGGACCCGGCCCGGACCCGGCCCGGACCCGGCCCGGACCCGAGACCAACCCTAATTGAACATATATTATAAGAGACTAAAAAGTCCGGTAAAAAAAGATAAATATAGAACATAATGATAGTAATTAATTAAAATTAAACATGTAACTCAGTGATAGTAATTAAAATAAAACATGTAACACAATGATCGATAGTAAATAAAATGTGATGGTACAAGACACGGACGTCGTAATTTTGAATCACATCCCAATTAAACAAGCTACTAGAGATTATCACTAAAGACATACTATAACAATTCCGAAGTGTTGCCCAAAAAGAAATATGCTTCTTTTGTGATTATTTGGTGGACATTTCTCATTTTCTCTTGGTTTTGGTGTCAAATCCTAACATCAAAAAAAATTCTCTCTCCCTTAACACTTTGTCATTTTTCTTTTTTGAATTATCTAAAAAAATCACTTTCCCATTTAATCAATTAATTCGTGATTCCATTTATTTCTCTCTCATCTGCATAAATCTCAAATAAATATTTTTTTACTTTATTATTCTTCATATCAGACAAATTTGACAAAATTTTTAGGAATAGAGGGAGTATGTCCATATGAGATCTTTTTACTTGCGATGTTTTAGTCCCAGACCAAACCAAAACAAATCAGATCAGACTCAAATTGACTAGCCCTGTTCAGACTTAAAGAGACGATCGAGATCAGGCCAGATTTCGATAGTTATAAAATACATAAAGATCAGACATTACCAGATTAGGTCATACCAGTTCAAACTGTATCATATCATACCATACCATACCATATCATACCATACTAGATCATAAAAATTCAGTCCAATTAAAAACATTTTGAGTCACATATATTATCCATATACTACATAAAAATACACTCATATCTCGACTTGACAACCAAAATTCTTATGATAAATTGTTATACGTATGTTTTCATTTTGAATGATTTCAATCTCACATTAAACCATATCAGACTTTTAAAGAAACCTCACTAGAACATATTAGATTTAAATAGACCAGGAAATCGGCTGAATCGGCTGATTCTGGTGAAATTTATGAAGTTCTGGCTGAAGTGGCTGTATTGACTGATTTTGCTGATTCATGAAAAAATTAAATTTAAAATATACTTTATTAATAAAATAAAGAAAAAATTATATGTAAAAATAGATAAAATGGTCCTCTACGGTAACTTCAGCCGATACAGTCAGAAAAGTAACTCCAACCTTACTTTTTCTGCTTATTACAAAATCCAGCGCGTGAAATCAAAAGTTACGTGTTTGATGAAAAGCTGGCTGATAAGTCTGATAAGCCGAAAAATAGCTCACCAAACGGGCTCTAGATCAAGATAGGAAATCAGTCTGATATACTTAGATAATACTCCCTAGTAAAATGAACATAATATCTTATCTATAGAAGACCAGATCTTAATTGAACAGGCTGAGTTTAAAATTATAATTCAACTATTCAAATGAAAACATGCATAATAAATAGTTACTCTGATGATTGATGAATACAGAGTATATGTTAAGAATTATATAAACTTCTCTTATAATATACGTAGTATAAAACATATTAATAATATGTAAGAAAAGTTAATTCCCTAACAATAATTATATACTTCTACTAAGTAAATGGGAAAGAGGGGCAAGAATGAAAAAGGGGCGAATTTACAAGAATGAAAAAGGGGCAAAAGAATTCGGGTCCTATAAATGATACTCCCTCTGTCCCATATTTATCTCCTGAAGTACAAATGGTACACAGATTAAGATAGTGGAAAATGTGTTGTGGAGAGTTGTGCAGAGGAAAGAGAAATGTGTAAGAATGTGTAAGAATGGATGTGAACCACAAATTCTTTGCTAAAAAGGGAAAGAGGAGATAAATTTGGGACAGACTGAAAAGGAAAGTATGAAGATAATTCCGGGACGGAGGGAGTAAAATGAATGAAAAATTCTAAAGGTACACACTTTTTGGTGTACACACTTTTTACACATGTCTGTGTAAGGTTTTTTTTATGTCTGTACAGACATAACGTATTTTTAAAATACGTTATGTCTGTACAGACATAAAAAAAACCTTAGACAGACATGTGTAAAAAGTGTGTACACCAAAAGTGTGTACCCCAAGTCCAACTCAAAATGAATAACTCCAATAAATAACCTATAGAGAACTTTTAAATATCTATCGTCATATTTATTTCACTTTAAAATCTTTTCTTTTTAATACTCCCTCCGTCCCGCTAACAATGAGACAAGAGGGAGTAACACGCAAATCAATAAAAAATGGTTTTTGTGGTTGATATAATTGATAAAGTAAGAATAAAGTAAAAATGATTTAGAGCCACGCAAATTTTGCCAAATTTGATATGAGACAATCTTAGTCGGACGGACCGATAAGGTAAAACAGGACAATCATGACCGGATAGTTCCCAACCAACCATAGACTAAACGTCCGGTTGAAAATCAAAGCTCATTTTTCGCAATGAGAAGTTCAGTTAGTGGATACAGAATTGTGTAGAATTTCTACATTGGAGCACTGCAGGCCTGCAGCAGACGGAGGGTTGTTGGTCTGCCACCAGTATTCAAGTCTTCTTCTAAAATCCCTAACGTCCCAATCGGATAGAACATACTCCTTCCGTCCCAAATTATTTTGCAAAATCAACACTTTTTTATCAACTAATAATAAAAGTTAATGCTCCCTATTGATAATTAATTCAATTTTTAATAATTAAAATTTACATATTCAGAAACTACATTAAAATTTCTTCAAAGTTGCAAACTCCAAATTAGAATATAATTAAAAATTGACATCCTAATTAAGCGAATAAAATGAAATTGTTTGACCAAGAAAAGTTAAATGTGCAAATCAATTTGGGACGGAGATAGTATAATAAATCGTAATTTATAGTAACTCAATTAAGCACAAATGATAGATCAGTGTCAGTTAGGGCATCCTCATTGGGAGGATTATTACAAGATTAAATTGGTGACATGGCAGTTTTTTTTAGAGAATTATCAATGAGTGACATAGATTATTTAATAGGATTATTTGCTAGAATAATCTTGGATCAAAATATGAATCCGGATTATTTTAAGATTATTTGAAAAGTATATGTAATAGAGATAAATGCGGGACAGAGAAAAAACAGATTATTTGAAGATGATGATTGAGAGACATAAATGAATTTTGAGATTATTTTATAATTAATTACATAACAATATTTAAATGGTAGGAATCATATAAAAATTGATTATTAGAGATCATGAATGGAGATGCTCTTATACATAAAGAATATGTCCCCATTACATTGAATGTTACTCCATACTGTCCTTGGTGGAACTCAATCCTGAATCACTTGCTCTAAGGAGAATATTTTTCTATGTATAAGTTTTATTTGGATTCTAATTTGTTTTGAGAATGAAATCAATTTAACTGCAAACATACTTACATTTATATATAGTTTTAGTTTTCTACTTTAACCACTTCCATGATTTTAGGTATCATTTGTATATTCATAGTTATAGTCGATTTTGTCACTCACTCACTCGGAGCATTTTTTTTACTCGAGAGCTGAAACGCACGGAAACGCAGGGGGTGGGGAGTTTCCCCGTTCAAGAAACGTTCGAACGTTTCCGAGCGTAGGAAACGCGCAATACGCGGATCTGGGCCGTTTCCCAATTTTGTAAATTTTGGAAACGCGTTTCCAAAAATTTAAACGCATATCGATCAATTTTAGGGCCTGCTCAAACGGAACAATCAAACCTTTCATCGTCCGCTCTTCGTTCTTCAACCCTAAGGCCTACGAGTACGCAGTCTTCCTTCCATCCGCAGTCCGCAGAGTTCGCCGGCTTCTCCAAAGGGCAAAGCCGCAAAGGTCGTTCACTCGTCCGCAAGCTTCCATTCAGGTATTTCAGAGCACTGGTTTAGGTTTTTCATCCTCCCCATCCTTCGTAAAGATGAAACGCACGCTTAGTGGGCACTGGGCAGTGAGTTCATTTAGTCAATGACTACATAGAGCTGAATTGATCTAAAAGAAAGTACTACAATTCTTGTGAATGAAGCAAATCTGTATATTTTTTCTGGTTTTATTAAAACCAGCCGTTTTATCTATTGGATATTGTAGTGGCTAATGAATTTATGCATTTTTCCTTCCTAATGGGCTAATGACAGCTTTTTTAATTGATTAAATTTGAATTGTTAAATGTTGTATAATTCAATTTAATTAGTTTTTGTATATGCAATTAAGTTTTTAATTAGATTAATTCAATTTGATTAAGTTTTGATTAACTTAGATTATTTTTAATTCTCTAGCGATGGAGGACAGTGTTAATAATACGCCAATGTCACAATTTAAAGAGGATGTAAGTAGTCCTTTGTGGCAATTTGTTAAAAGACTCCAAAAAACTGGTGATGGAGGTGGCAATGTGAAATGGATTTGCAACTTTTGTGGTAGCCAAAAACAGGGGACATACACTAGAGTGAGAGCTCATTTACTCAAACTGCCTTCAAAAGGAATTACTGTATGTCCAAAGGTTGGGCCGGAGAGCATTTTAGAAATGAAAAAGCTTGAAGAAGATGCTGCAAAGCAAATTGCTGGTTCACAACCTAAGCGAGTATCCTTGACTAGTAGTAGCACGCAAAGCAGCTCAACATATTTATCGATAAATGAACCAAGTCGTTTAGAGATGTTGAAAAGAAGAAGAGCCGATGACTCGCCCATTTCCAAAGCTTTTGATTTGCAAACTAGGAATCAGCTAGACGATGAGATTGCAAGGATGTTCTTCACCGGAGGTATTCCTTTCAATTTTGCAAGAAATCCATATTATATTAGCTCATATACTTTTGCTGCTAATCATAATTTGGGTGGATATATACCTCCTGGTTATAATAAGTTGAGAAATACATTACTTCAACAGGAGAAAGCACATGTGGAGATGTCCTTGCGACCTATAAAAAGCACTTGGTACGAAAAAGGTGTGACCATAGTTAGTGACGGATGGAGTGATCCGCAAAGGAGGCCACTAATTAATGTGATGGTTGTTTGTGAAGCTGGCCCAATGTTTATCAAAGCTGTCGATTGTTCAGGGGAGGTAAACGATAAGCATTTCATTGCTAATATATTGACAGATGTTATTAATGAGATTGGTGATCACAAAGTCATTCAAGTAATCACCGATAATGCTAGAAATTGCAAGGCAGCTGGAGAAATTATTGAAGGTCTATTTCCGCATATTTATTGGACTCCTTGTGTTGTTCACACTCTTAACCTTGCCTTAAAGAACATCTGTGCGACAAAAAATGTGTTAACAAATGCAGAAACGTATGAAGAGTGTCATTGGATCACAGAAGCTCATGGAGATGCGGTGCACATCAAAAATTTCATAATGAACCATTCCATGAGGCTTTCTATGTTCTGCCGATTTAGGACTTTGAAGTTGCTTTCAGTAGCTGATACTCGTTTTGCTTCTATTATTGTCATGCTTAAGAGGTTTAAACTTTTGAGACGTGCTTTAGAAGAATTGGTTTTGAGTGATGAATGGGCAGAATATCGAGATGATGATCAAGGAAAGGCTAAATTTGTGTGAGAAAAGATTTTAGATGAAGGTTGGTGGGAGAAGGTTGATTGCATATTGCAGTTCACTGGGCCTATGTATGATATGATTAGAATTTGTGATACTGACAAACCATGCCTCCATTTGGTTTACGAGATGTGGGACTCAATGATTGAAAAGGTGAGAATGACTATCTTTGCGCATGAAGGAAAAACATATGGTGAATATTCTCCCTTTTACTATGTTGTTCATCGCATTCTAGTTGAACGTTGGACGAAGAACAACACCCCGCTTCATTGCTTAGCTCATTCCTTAAATCCGCGGTATTTATTTATGTTTTAATTTAATTCCCCTAGTAGCTATTTATTTAAGTCTTATAATTATATATTATTATGTACTTGTTTTATAAATTGTAGGTATTATAGCGATCAATGGATCCAGGAAGGAGTTGGGAGATCGCCTCCACATATGGATAATGAACTTTCATTAGAGAGAAATAAGTGTTTTAGGCGAATTTTTCCTTCTGAAGAGCGTGTTAAGGCTATTGATGAATATGCTAATTTCTCTTTGAAGATTGGTCCATTTAGAGACCCAGATTGTATTGTTGCTATGTGTGATACGGATCCTAGAAAGTGGTGGGCAGTGTATGGATCAGGTGCACAATTACTCCAAAAATTGGCATTTAAAGTGCTTGGACAACCTAGCTCTTCATCCTGTTGTGAACGAAATTGGAGTACTTATTCTTTTATCCATTCATTAAGACGGAACAAATTAAATCCGAAGCGTGCAGAAGATTTGGTGTTCATTCACAATAATCTACGCTTACTTTCAAGAAATTCTGCCCAGTATGAAGATGACAACACTAAGATGTGGGATGTTGGTGGGGATCAATTTGCAAGCTTGGAAGATGTTGGTGTTCTTGAGTTTGCAAATTTATCACTGGATGAACCTGATCTTGAACGTGTCTTTTTTAATGAAGATGTTGATCCCGTGGAAGATGCCTCCACTACAATTTAATTTGTTTTTATGGATGTTGTGTTTAATGTTTTGTTATGGACTAAGATTTCAATAATTTTAGACTTCCTTATGGTGATTGGTGACATAATCTCGTGTGGCATGTTTGTACATATATGTGTGTGTCAATATATATATATATATATAGAATAAGGATCAAATGAGAAGAGTGCTTATCGTAAAAGTGAGAATGCATCTGGTGCGTTCAATTTAAGATCTGTGCATCAGATTAGCAAAAAAGTGCACGGGAAAGTGCAAAAAATATTTAAAAAATAATGCTAGACGCGGTGGCATTTACGTAATTAATCGGAACTTTTCTGCCATCACAAAAAGTGCATCAGATTAGCAAAAAAGTGCATTAGAAATAGGTAAATGTGTAACTTCTCACTTCTCACGTTAAGATATCTTCTCATTAGATCCCGACCCTATATATATATATAGGGGATGGTTCAAATAAAAAGAGGTCTTAACGTGCAAAGTGAAAAGTTTACACTTTTTCATGTTTCGCTTGCACTTTTTCTTGCTTTCGTTGCACTTTTTCGCGATAGCTCAAAAAAATTGGTTTATTTACAAAAATGCCACCGTCATTTTGGCCGAATTTGGCCAAAATCAAAATGGCCAAAAAGTGCAATGCAAACAACAAAAAGTGCAAGCGTAACATGAAAAAGTGAAAACTTTGCACTTTGCACGGGAAGACCACTTTTCATTTGAACTCTTCCCTATACACACACACACACACACACACACACATATATATATATATAATATTTATAAATTAACCCCTATATTTTTAATATTTGCGCGTTTCCCCCGCGTTTCGTGTCCTATATTTTTGGTAAATGGCGTTTCCGACGTTTCCCGTTTCCCGTTTCCCGTTTCCGTGCTACTTAGCTCGAGAGGAGTCTAGGCGAGGGGGCTTGGAGTAATCAGGGCTGAAACTCACTTCAATTCATTGAATTTCAAACCCTTGTGCGCCTAGCGGGTTTCAAACTCGAGACCTCCCACTAGACACGGTAACCTCACAACCAGCTGAACTGGAATGCTTGGTTGTTACTTGGAGCATCTCTAGTGTTACAATATGTATATGTGGCATGAAAGATATAGACACACAAATATTAATAAGTAAAATATTTATTTCTTTGAGAACAATCTTATATGTTTTTGATAAGTTTTTTCCATAATGTCAAGAAGAATGTTTAAATATTGAAGTTGCGGTTGACATTATTCAAGAAAAATTATCAAAATTAAATAAAACCGTAAAAGAGTTAGAGACAAATGCCATTCATTCAACTCGTAAACGATGTCATAATTATTTTAACTATAAAAGTGGTCGAAAGAGAATGTGACAATATTGTGTACAATGTTTTGACCAAAAGTATAAAATTGAAATTAATGTTAAAAAGATCAATCCCATTCTTGAGAAACTTAATTATTCGAAACACACCTAAGCCCGCCAACTCGGCATTTTGCCCGAGTCGATTTCAGCCACTAGATAAAAAATGAACGGCGGAAATTAGTCGAGATTTCATCCTAACGGTGCCCAGCGCGCCAAATGGCAGATGATCTCAATCGGACGGATATCAATTCATTGAAGGCTTAGCCGTGTGTATATATTCAATTCAAGTCGCCTAAAACCGGTGGTTTTGTCCACTTAACATAAATGTATGCTCGGAATAAGCAATGCTTTTTTCCTTGTTTTTTTATTACTTTTCTTTTCAGGAACATTTAATGTATTGCCACCCTAGCAGACTTGATATACAAAAGATTGAATGAATGCTCAACCCAAGGGTTTCAACGCAAAAAAATGCGGGATTGACAGATATTTTTAGCACAAATTTCCCAAAATTGGTAGTGATATGCCAAATATGTGTCGAAAATATTTTGGCACGAACTATTTGACACGAAATCATCGGTCGATCCGTGCAAAATCTATGTCAATCCCATATTTTTTTTGTAGTGAGATTTGCCATTCTAAAACATATGATATATATATATATATATATATATATATATATTAATATATATATATATATATATATATATATATATATATATATAACGTACTGTTTTGAATAATTTACTTTATCATCTTCCCGGTTGAATTGTAAGCCAAAATTTGGTGGGTAAAAACTACACATGATGAAGAATGTTTTAAAAACATTTCATCAAAATATTTAACCGGAAAGGATCTCAAATAGCCTTGGCCAGACGGTGGGTCTTGTCAGACCGACCTGACAAAATCGCTACTCATTTTGTCACATCACTGCTTTAAATAAAACACAGTCTGGATAGAGAGTGCCTAATCCCGAATTAGTGATCGAGTCAAGTATTGGACCGGTTGCTTACATGAGCCATTTTTTTAATTCCATTTCAATTATTTCAAATTGTATCAAAGTTATTACAGTAATTTTACTTAAAAGCCAAGTCAACTAGTAGTTACACTCAATTTGAAAAACTCAAATTCTAACATATTAAGAAATGTTATGACAAAATTGAACATTTAATAGAAGAGCTTGTATTTTTTTATCAATAAACACGTAAGGTGTTCCCCGGCCCTTATCCCAAAAAGCCGATTTGATAGCAATATCACATACTTAATAATTAATGGAAAATATTGTTTATCATACATTTTATTTCATTATAAATAAAAGAAGTCATCTCTAGCCTATGGGAAATCTTGATACGCAGTTTCAAAGATACGAAAGCCCGCTATTGTGTTTGCCTGATTACCGGCCCTTGACATTTTTAATTTAAACGTCTTTATTGTCTTCGTCCCTAAAAATAGGCTGAGAATCCTACTTATTCACACACACATGCTTTGATACCCCTAAAAATAAAATGATTAAGTTATGCTCTTTCAATGTTTTATTTTGGAGATTTTATCAAAAATATTTCTCAAATGAAACTTATTTCTAAAAGTATGACTAATAGTTACTGCGTATACTATAATATGGAGTGGTAGTATATAGTCTCTTAAGTGTAAAAATTGAATATAAATTACTTGAGTAAAATTTCTATTATAGTCACTATACTTAACATGTCACATTTTGCAAACAATTTTTATTTTAGTCATATATATGTAATTATTTATTTATTTCATGTATGTACAATATGAGAGTCTTAGTTCTTATGTTTCCAAACCCCATCTTATATACTACCTACGTCCCGCTAAGTTTGTGACAATTCGGTTTATGACGACGATAAAGCAAACAGTTCCCTGTCCGCACTCAAATTATTTTTAGAAAAAAAATTACATATTCAGAAACTACATTAAAGTGAATAGTGTCTGAGACAATCTTAACGGGACGGAGGATCAGTACATGAGCAGCCAACTCTGAAGATGCTGAACCACTTGGAATTGCAGCAATGAAGTGAATCATTGCAAAGTTGTTCATTTTTAGATGTGAAGTATTCCTAATTAAATACTTTAGATTGATTGGGTAATACTTTGAACTTGTTGCACTATAATTCTGCAATCAAACATTTTTAGTGAATTTCAGACCAATGTTTAGAAGTGTGACATTTTTGTCTGACCCTTTGACTTTTCCACTTTCGTACGTAGTATAAGACAACTTAACCTATCATGTGCCCACTCGGTCACTCCCATAAATTTAGTGTCAATCTTTCATTAATATACTCCGTATATTCAGCTTACTCTTTCCAGACACGTGTCCTAAAACTATTATTTCAGGTGTGAACAAGTATCTTTTGTGGGCCCACGGCGGTTAGTATTATTAACTACTAATATAAAATATGGAGTAATTAATGATGCCCATAAATGAATTTACATACAACCCACCATCTATATATAAAAAGTCTACTCATGCACTAACCCTCACATGCACTCTATATAGTCTAAGGGTGAAGAAATTGAAGGAAGTCATATTTATATTTGCAGCTCATCTCAGAATATAAAAATCATGGGGAATTGCATAAATAGGCCATTAAAAGAAGAAGAAGAAGAAAAAGAGATGGCAGAGGCTGGGGAGAAGTTCATCAGTGAAAAAAATGGTGAGTTGGAAAAAACCAGTAATGGTAACAAGAGAGTTAAGATTGTCTTGACAAAGGATGAGTTGCAGTGGCTGCTGTTTAGGATCCAGATAGGAGGGGAAGGTGTTATCAATGGAGATCATCAGTTACAGGATCTCTTGAAGATGAGAGGGGGAGGAAGAGCTTTTGGGTGGAAGCCTTCTTTGGAGAGCATCATTGAGTGCCCAGAAGTGCCTCCAGGCTGCAGTTAGAGATAAGGAATGATAGACTAACTTCTATCATTTCTTTTCTACTCATTAGTTTTGTTTGGTTGGGAAACTTATTTTGGGGGAGAAAGGGAATTGAAGGGAAGTAGGTGATAATATTTACTAGTTTGCATCATTTGTATCATTGTATGTTTAAATGATTCTACATAGTCAGATCGAGTAGATATATATAAAGAGTTATGTATATATAGTTATATACGCCTTTTTTTATATTACCAAAATAAATGGATAACACTTGGTAATATAGTAGTATATATGGAGGATAAAATATCACTTGTTTTGAGTTTTCTCAAAATAGTCAGATAGAGTAGATATATATAAAGAGTTATGTATATATAGTTTTTTCCCGAATGCCAATTAAATAAATAATTCCCAAAATACTGTTGGCTTGAAAATAATTCCCAAAATACTGCCGTGTTTTAGCAGAAAATATTCAAGCTAAATACAATTGAATTAAAACAGGGAACATGCAAGAACTTGATCAAGGGAAATAAATTAATATTGAATTTGTGAACATGGTTGTAAGTATGAGAATAAAGTGATAAGTTTTGATCGGGTTGATTGGGTTTTCTTTCTCTTCCTTGCTAGTCTATTTAAATAACAAATCTATCCTTAATTGTTGATCTAACTGTCCGCCAAAGTAGCAACCATTTCCTCCACTTCGTGTTGTTATTAATTCCATTTGGGCTACAATTATTTGAGGCCATAAGTAACATATACCCAAAATACATACTGACGGGGCGGGTTGGCCTGCTAATAATTCTTGGCCCAACAATTGCTCCCTTTTGAGAAGTTGATGCGCATGGGTATAGTACAAGTGTCAACCTGTCAAGCAGTAACTTGTTGAAATCTTGAAAGAATTTATACTGGTCATACTTGATTATTTCACTTATAAACTCGTGATCAGTTTGATAAGACATGTCATCAACTCATCGCTTGTCTGAGGAGATGCTTCTATCGTCTTGTCACTCGTCTGGCGAGACGCTTCCGTCAACTTGTCATTTTCTTTGCAAGTGGTTTTTGATCGAATTCGTCTCTTTGACTGAAGTGATGAAGAACGTTGGCTGATCTCCTATCCTCTTCCTCCATATTTGTGCTAATGATCATAACTAGGCGATGTTGACGAGTTGAAATTAAATTTTCTCTAGGTTGATGTCGACACTTCAGTTGGCAAGGGTGACGTTATTCACCATTGGACAGACGACGAGTTGGGCTGCATGAGTGTGACTGTTAACCAGCAAAAACTTTAAACAATATGTTGTTTGTATCTTTAGTAATATCGTCAGCTTACACTTGAATTTTTTAGCTCCACATCGATTTCATTATGCCATTCGTATCGAAGTCATTATGTCATTTGTAGCGATGTCATTTGTGTCGACGTTAACTGTAGTGTGTTTTTATGTATAGTTGTGGAGCTTGTGTTGTCATGGTCTTGGAGCACATGCTTCTGTTGTATATTTCTGTAGTTTTGGCCAAAACAATGCGGAGAATCGATGGTGTTTATACTCATGTTTAGCGTACATGAAAACCTCACTTCTTCCCCTAAGATTCTGTAAGCCCCTCGTCAATCGTGTTTTGACGCTTTTGTAAGGCTTTGTTTGATGTATGTTAGGATTCTGTCATTGTCAATTATCGATTGCTCCTGCGTAAAAAAGAATCTGCTAACGTCGGTCATTGGCTAGAAGCCAATGGCCCTCCGATGCTTAAGTTAGTGATTGTTTATAGATAAATGAAAGAAATAAATTAAAAATATGCATACGACATGCCCCTGTCTGACGATTTTAATCATTTCATCATGAAAGTGACTCGTCGCGGGAGGGACTCATCACGGGAGTGACTCATCGCGGGAGTGACTCGTCACGGGAGTGACTCGTCACGGGAGTGACTCGTCCCGGGAGTGACTCGTCACGGGAGTGACTCGTGGCGGGAGTGACTCGTCGCGGGAGTGACTCGTCGCGGGAGTGACTCGCCGCGGGAGTGACTCGTTGCGTGAGTGACTCGTCACGGGAGTGACTCGCCACGGAAGTGACTTGTCACGTAATTGATGACAATATGTAAAAGAAAGTAACAAATTAAAATGAAACAACTTTAAGGGTACCGTATTGCAGCTCTTTAGAACCTATTTACCACCGGACGACATGCCCCCCGTCCGAGATTTCAGTCATCTTGTCTTGTCCATCTCGTCATGGGATGACGACTCGCTCTCCAGGTCTTGAATAAGGTTTTCCAGACTTGTAATCATGTCTTCTAGGAGATTCTGATTTCCCATGCCCCCCTTTGTACTCAATTTGTCTGCGACGGGATCTTAAGTCTTCTTCTAGACGGATGAAAGCCAATGTCTTTGCTTGGACATCTTCGAAGGACCGACAAGGGTATTTCGTCAGTTCGCGATACAGCTCCGAATCTTCACACAAACCTCTTCTGAATACTTCAATGACGGTAAAGACGTCACATTTTGGCATCGACACCTTCCTTATGTTGAATCTGTGCAAATAATCTCTAAGTGATTCACCATGCCTCTGTGTGACTTGATACAAGTCGCTGGCCCGTCCTTCCAATACCTTACTGCTCGCGAACTGTCGATTGAAAAGATTGACGAGTTCAGCAAACGAACTGACGCTCCCATTCGGAAGATTCACGAACCATGACAAAGCAGGACCGGTCAATATCATGCCGAATCCACGACACATACACGCCTCTCTCTGTTCAGGTCTAACGGAGATGGTCGACATCACTTGCTTTAATCGCATGACATGTTCTCCAGTATCTGTGGTTCCTTGAAATGGTTCCATGGTTGGTACATCAAATTTATTTGACAGTTCGACACTGATGATCGAACCGTCAAAAGATGAATCTTCATAACACGTTTGAGACGCTATGTCAAGTGGAGGGGGAACTCCAGAAATTGCATTGATTCTCTCCTGCATTTGTCGTAGCTGATCCATTATCATTGACATTGGGTCCGCCAGGCCTCGTTGAAGTAGTTCCGCTGTTGAAACTGTTGGTCCTGCCATCTGAGTCGCTTCAGGCTGGGTTGGTGATGGAATGATTATGACTTATGGACGTCGTCCCCCATGACTTGGATCCGTCGAAGTGATGGGTCTATGTGGACGTTGTGTTTGTGGTTCAGGTAGCAGCTTGTCAAGGATGTTCCGTCTCGAGTTCTGCGTGAAACCGGACGGGCCTAGACCTCCAAAGGTTCTTTCTCTGTATTGATGAATGGAGAATTCCGTCAAGGCTGACACAAATGAAGACATTGGTAAGCTTTGAGTGGCCGAGTGCAGGCCCATCGTCCTCGGCCTGGATCGAAGGGACTCCGGAAAAAAGCAAGTTGGTATGCTGGGAGCGGGAGTTGTCTCAGGGACGAGAGGTGTATAAGGGATGACCTGTGAGATGACCGTTGATTGAGGTTCTCCAGTTGGAGACAAGCCTAGTGTGAGGGAGACGTGATCTGTCATCGTTGCAGGTGGATCCGTCACCGCCAGGGTGAAACCAAGATCCAGTTTCGTGGCGGTAGTCTTGGGGTCTCTCCTCCGGTTAATCATGGAGTTTAAAGCTATTGACACCACTGACTACACCTGTGAACGAAGAACTTCATTCTCCCGTTGAAGGTGGGCCGTTCGTTCCGCCATCTCATGCCGGATTTCCTCTTTTGTCGTTTCTAGCTTTTTATGAAATTCAATCGACAATTGATTTGTTCCAGCCATGATTGATCTTTCTCTTGCACGAGGCCCCACGATGGGCGCCAAATTGTTTTAGCAGGAAATATTCAAGCTAAATACAATCGAATTAAACCAGGGAACGTGCAAGAACTTGATCAAGGGAAATAAATTAATATTGAATTTGTTAACATGGTTGTAAGTATGAGAATACAATGATAAGTTTTGATCAGGGTTGATCGTGTTTTCTTGTTGTAGGAAATTTGGCCGGAAAAATCTGCAAAAAAGCGTTAGAAAATAATATATAGCTCGAGACGCGTCAGACACTGTCCTCAAGAAAGTATTTCCGACAAGCGAAAATCTTTCCCCAAGATATAACGAGCTCTTCAGCGTAAGCCGGTAACAGAACAACGAGATTGAAAAAAATTATTAATCCAGAGGACAAAAATTTCGTGTGAAGGAGTTTTTGGTTCGTAGCTACTACTCCGAAATATAAACAAGTAGCTGAATATATATAACATGCTATCGACGTATGATCACTACGATGCAGTTCAGGTGAGACATTAGCATTTAAAGCTCAAGCAAAAAAAAAGGTTTTATATTAAAGCTTGAGTTAAAAGCTTAACGTTAGCAAGATCATAGTTTATAATGTTAATGGACTATTTAATACACTTTTAATAATAATAACAAAAGCTACAACTCATGTAACGGTTTTTATAAGAGCTCATTAGAAATGTGCATGTTATTTCAATTAATAATCACACCAGGATCAAGCCTAGCTTGAAACGTTTCAATTTCATTATAGTTATAATTTTAATATGAAGATGTAAAGGTAGAGTATATATAAGATGTACAAATATTTATTTGAAATTTTTTGGTTAAATTAAAAGTTACCAAAATAATTAAAATTAATAAAACATTATTTATTTGAAATACTCTTAATATTTCCAACAATCCCCCACATATTTCAAATGAATAGTTTAGAAAAATTTCTGCTGGATTAAAGGAATGAGACTTTAAGTTTGGTGTCCGTAGACTATGAACCAAACCGAGACGATTAAGTCTTAATAAACCGAGCTTTTGGTGAAACGTATAGTTTCTTGAACCAACAAGCTACTATTGGTAAATCAGGGTCTTAACGGTCGTGTCTCACCCCGCACAATTTCTCGTTATTACGCCGTTGTGCGCCGTAAGGCCATGCGCGTGCTTGGTGTTCATGAGTGCTCTAGAAGTTTTGTCATGCTTCATGGAGGCGGCCCCACCTCACACTCATATAGGTGACATCATCAAGTGTGTACCGCTTTTGCTTCAAAGTGACACTAGTCCCATTTCCTTCGATGTTTGGGTTATCATTTTTTTCGTCCTAGGGATTCTGTCAAAGGAGTAGATAATTCCTTTTGACCTCACAAATTAATGGAAATAATTCCATTCTCAAACATCATTACACCACTTTTAAGAGTGAATGAATATTCACTATTTTAACTTATCTGATATGAGTATACTCAGATGTCATCGTTGTATCCCGATAATACAACGGATAATTCTCAATAAGAAATAACATCGATGTGACCCCTCAGTACATCGGATAATACTCAATAAAATATATACCATCATTGTATTATTATAATACAATGGATAATTCTCATATAACATCATTGTACCGCTCTAGGACAATGGATATTTCTCAATAAAACATATCATCGTTGTAT